AGCCCCCCCCCCCAAATACAAGCGATTTCTTTTTAAAAATTATTATGAAAAGAGAGCCAGTGCTCACTCTTTCTGACTAAAACATGCTCTAACTTAAGAACTGATTATTCAAGTTACAGATGGACGAGATTCCTCACGGCCCACTAGGACTCGGAGCATGTTTTCAGCCCAGTTTTATGAATATTTTAAATTCGTGTTACTGATGTTTGTGATTATAGCCTATTAGCAATTCAAAACAGTAATTTTTTTTAGCAAAAATAAATAGGCAATCCCAAGACCAGTACAATGAACTTTATTTTTTAAAAGTTATACTCTTCTATCTAGGGCCACTGGACTGGTCTATTTGAAGAGAGTACTGATATTTATACCCCGGAATATTCTAGGAGATGTGAGGGTGTTTTCATTCTAAACTCCTAACAATCTGATTGAGGTTATTCTACTGATGAAAGCTTTTATCGCTGCGATTTCATAAAATAGCTAGGAAGCCACAAATACTACTCAAAATTTGGTCTGAAATTTCTATGGCTCGAGATTGCTATTTTGTGTAATGTTTAGAAATGTGTGACCCATGTGGTCCATGTCCAAAAAACACAGGCAAGTACCTTAAATCTGATTTCAAAATGACTTTTTAAAGTTCTCATAGCCTGAACACCGTGAAGCAGATAAATTGCGAATAACATATCTTAAACACTTCTTTTCTCCTCCACTGTTCTCACACAAGGTCGCTGCATGTGCACTTTCAAAACGTAGCCACTTCTGCAGCCCTGGCTGTGTGCTTCAGATCTTTTCCCCCAGCTCTTTCCTCCTGAGTTGGAGTCACAAAAGCCCCGAAGAATTGGTCTAGCAAAGCCCGACCCCAACCATCCTTTTAGGAGGCTGGAGTAGGGGAGCAGAGTTGATATAAACAATTTCACAATAATGTGTACTTTTCCTTTCACAGCTGATTCCTTTCCACAGTGAACTCTTAAATATTCAGTAAGATGGTGGGTTAATAGGTCTAGTTTGCTTTTAACACAACTGGTTTCTTTTGAAAAATGAGCCACCTTAATAGGAGAGGGGCTTTACAATCACTGACATCTTGTGGTTGTATCCCAAAGTCACAGAAAACGCGACTCACATGCAAGCACCAAAACTATGAATAGCTTTCAAAAGCAGGACTTATTTTTTTTTCACAAAATAGCTGTGTAACTCTTTGAAATCTGTTATTCCTCTGAGTTCAGAGAAGTTCAGTATTAAAAACAATAATCTCAGGTACCATCCTCTTAATCCACATGTCACGCTGGAATCTGAATACGAAACTGTCACTTTTATAGTAGACAGAAACAGTTCTGTTATGGAACATCGGGGGAGAGTATGCAGCCTGTGGGGACTGTTGGAGGTGTGTCAAATGGGATCTAAAACATTTTAATTCTAAAAACACTTCAATATATTTCTTCAAAGTTTTCCAGGACTTAATCAGTTGTCTAAATTAAAATAAATTAGGCCTATTTTCTTTGCTTCAATTTCTTAAATATCCATAAACTGGCAGTGGTTAAAAAAACAAGAGTAAAGAAAATTTGTAATATTATTTTTTCCATTACATCATGCAATGAAACGACTTCCAAAAGTCACAACACAAACTCTCTTGATGAATGAGGCAATGGAAACTGAATGAGGCAATGAAACTTCCTATTTTGAGTTGTATTAAATGGTGAGACCCTCCTCCCTGCACCAACCAGGCCTGACATGTCCCATCTTTCTCAGAAAATGTGTTGATCCAACTTCTCAGATTCTTTGTTGGTAATTGGCTAGGATTTGTTAACTCGTGTGAGGTAGGTTAGGAAAATGTATAGGCGGGCCATATACTCTGGGCTCAAGTAGAGCTTCATATTAAAAACGTAAAAAATTTTCCTGTTTGTTAGAAGAGGTACCATTGTTGTTGAGTTCTTTTTTATTTTTTTTTTAACTTTTTAAAATATGTTTTGTTTGATTTCAGATCGAAGAAGAGAGAGATAGAAATATCGCTGAGAGAGAAACATCAATCAGCTGCCTCCTGCACACCCCCTCCTGGGGATCGAGCCCAAAACCCTGGCATGTGCCCTAACTGGGGATCAAACTGCAACCTCCTGGTGCATGGGATGATGCCCAACCAACTGAGCCACACCAGCCAGGCCCTTTGACAACACTCTCTAGTACTCTACACCAGCAGAGAAACTGAATTCTATTAGTAAGTAGTGTAATAACCCCTACCCTTATTCCCTGTAACAAAATTAAGAATATAATTATATTCAATTAGCAAAAGGTTCACAAATATTGTAAAAAAAAGAACTGCTTTGAAATACAAATAAATTAGAGTTCTCCAAAGAAACAGAACCAATTGGATGCATATATGGAGAGATTGATTTCTTTTAAGAAATTGGCTCATGCAATTATGGGAGCTGGTAAGTCCAAATCTGTAGGACACACTGGCAGGCTGAAGACCCAGGCAAGAGTTGAAGTTGCAGGCTTGAGTCCAAAATCCATAGGCAGGATTCCTCTTACTGTCTTAAAGAAATAATATTCGTTCTACTCCAGAAAGCCTCAGTTTTTGCTATTAAGGCCTTTAACAGATTGAGGCCCACCCACATTATTGAGGGTAATCTCCCTTATATAAAGCCCATTGATTATAAATGTTAGTCACATCTACAAAATACCCATCACTGCAACATCTAGTCTAGAGTTTGACCAAACAACTGGGCACAATGGTCTAGCCCATGTTGACACGTAAAATTAACCATCACAACAAACTTCGTGAAACAGTGTTTCCTCAAAGACACAAGATAAGTAGGTTTAAATATATAAATCCCTTAGTGAACAGCATTAAGCATGCTTTTATTAAGAAAACAAGTCCCCTTGTTTTTACTTTTCTTTGCTCTTTTCAGTCAGTTGTATGGTGGTGGGAAGGGTAGGGATGGGGAAGTGGGATTGTATGTCAGTTTTCAGGGACCCTCTTCTGCATAACCATGTCAAATATTTGTGCTACGGTATTGGGAACAGTGCATCTTCTAGGATCAAAAAAGTGAACAAATAAATTGTTCACAATCTGTGGAAGGTGGAGGTGAACAATCTACATATCACAAGTTGTATTATAAATTAAGTGCCACAAAAAGATATAAAGGCAGTGGCGCTGCAGGTATATAAAAGGGTTTGGATTTTATTGTGCTTCCAGCTGAAAAAAAGTTTCGTAGACCTGTGAGGGCAGCATTGCAAACCTTCCTTGCTACTTTTTCAATACAAGCAGGTAGAGGGGGAGAGACCATAAGCATAAGGAAATTGCTTCCAAGGCAGAGTCACTCCTTTCCATGTGGGCAATGCCAGTTCCACCACAGAGATGGCTAGAATTAATCAAACTCACATAGCAAGTCCTGACATTTGATGGCCTAATTAGGGTGATTATGGATAAGGCTTAAAAATCTGCTTCATCAGCAGATGATCCAATGAAATGTTTCCGTAAAGAGCATGTTCCCAGCCCATACCTGGCCCAGGAAAAGCTAAAGACGTGAAGCTAAAGTTACCATGTTAATAATTATTTGTGATGTGGTTGGCAAAAGTAGTCCTCATAGGAGTACTTTAGGCAGATGATTGCAGCAGGTCAGGTTTTCCTCTACCTTGTAGGAAGGTTTCAACAACTCTTACTTTTTTGTAGCACAGAAAGCATACATATAGAGAGATTTATGACAGAGAGGTGTTTTTTTTCCTTAGAGTGTTTTTTTTTTTTTTACTAGCCTAAAACAATCACAAATACTTCTTTCTTCTCAGAAGGAGAGTTGGTGAAAGTAATAAACTAGCTATGACCCATATCAGTAGTAACAAATGAAACACAATGGGGCAGTATGTGTGGAAGGAAACAGAGTAGAACAAAGTTCTTGTGTTCCTATTTTTCTGTTTTGTTTTGCCTGTGTTTTCAACTGCAGATGTATAAATACTGAATTTTCATAGGGCTGAGGAACCAAAATGAATTGGAAGAATAATACTCCTCATTAGATGTTCACCATAAATGTTATATCTATGTAAGTGTACATAATTCCAGGATGTTAAAATGTCTTAGAGCAACAACTATTGAAGGAATAGAAGTCATTAGTGTTTTAGTGTTTTGATATGGGTGCATAACTTATGCAAATTTCAATGGGCTTTTTCAACTATATGACACGTGCTTATATTTTAAATATTTTAAATATATTTGGTTCATGAGATCATTCACATATTTGTATTTGTAAATCAAAAAAATACAGTATATGAGAGTCTTTCAGAAAGGGATAAGTCACAAAGCACCGCCTTTCTTTACACTCATTTCCTTGGCGTTTGAACGAATCACCTCTCACTTTGAACACTTGATGTGAGAGGGCTTCCTAATTAATAGTTCCAGCTCCAGACAACTCTCTGAACTCCAGACTTGTGCATCTAACAGCTTAATGAACATCCTCAGTTAGACGTTTATAGGCATTTCATTCATAACATGTCCCAAGACGAACCCTTGTTTGCCCCCGCCTCTCAGCCCCCACTAAATTTGCTCCTCCTTGTTATCTCATCTCAGTACAATTCTTCTACCCTTGGCTCAGGTCAGTGATTTTGGAGTCAACAAACTCCTCTCTTTAGGAGGATAGGCCATTGATAAGCAAATCCTTCGGACTCATCCTTTGATTTTCAACTGGTTTTGGCCCACTCAGATGGCCTTACAATGTTCTGCAAGGCCACGCAGTAGTTGCCCCCTCATGTACCTTCTTTCAACCTGCCCTCCTCACCTCTCGTATAATGTCCTGTTACACACTCTCCCCTCATTTCAGTCATGATCTGCATTAGTTTTCTACTACTATAACAAATGACCACAGATTGCCACAAGTCACGTAGCTTAAAATGATACAAGTTTATTATCTCACAGTACTGTAGGTCAGAAGCTGGAATGGCTTGGCTGTTTTCTCTGGTTGTTGGCAGAATCCGTTGCCTTATGTTTGTAGGACTAAGGTCCCTGTTTTTTGCTGCCTGCTCTTAGCTCCCAGAGCCCTCTCCCATGAAACCCTACATCTCAGTGTCTGCAGTAGCACATGGTATGCTTCTCACACTTGGAATCTCTGATTTTTCCCTTCTTCTGAACCTGAAATGAAGTGAATTTGAGAAAATGGAGACATCAAGTGTAGACGTTAAGACAGTTGTAGAGAAAGTAATATAGTAAGAGGATAATAAAAATTTGAGCAGTAAAATGTATTAACCCACTAAATAGATTTATATTGGCATTGTAGGTTCTTTAGCTGAAATATAAAACTGATAATTTTTTCTTGAGGAAAGGAAGATTATGACACTTACTGTAGAATCATATAGAGTTCATTGGTAAGTGGTTTAGTATAGTTTTAAAGTTTGTTGCTTTTATAGTCTTAGACTATAAAACAGTTGAACTGCAAATGTCGTGCTCTTACCCAATTTCATTGCCCCGCTGCTTTCCATGGTTTCTTGCGTTTCGTTGGCCAGCACACTCCTTTATTTTAAGCCAAGTGTTTGAAAGTGTCAAATGAAAGTACTGCTGCAGCCAGGTGGCAGCTGACTTTGTTTTTACTTTAATGTGAGATAGCACTCACAGATGTAACTTGTATTCTTTTTTAATGAAATAACTTTAAAAAAAATTTTTTTAAAAATATGTATTGATTTCAGGGAGAGGAAGAAAGAGGGAGAAAGAGAGATAGAAACATCAATGATGAGTCATTGATTGTTTCCCTCCTGCATGCCCCTGACTGGGAATCAAGCCCAAAACCTGGGCATGTGCCCTGACTGGGAATCGAACCTCGGTCACTTGGATCATAGGTCAATGCTCAACTGCTGAGCCATGCTGGCTGGGTTTGAAATAATTTTTATAAATTCCACATACACTGAAACATTGCTGGAATGACCTTCAAAAAGTTAGTGTACAGTAATAAATGCAGACTCCAGCCAACACCTCAAATATATAAAATACTCATTTTCATAGAGAAGGGAGGGGGAATCAACATGATAGTATTAACTATTTTAACTTTAAAAAAATTCACTCTTGATAATATTTTCATTTTGTGCATTTCTTTACAGATTATCATTTTACGTATTTCTCCACATAAATGCCATCTATGACAGGCCATAAACTAAAGACATTTGTTTGTGCTGCCCAGCCACCACCAAGTGTGATAGACTAGACACCATTTGATTATGGTGACAACAAGTGGAAGATGAGATTTATTTTACACTATTTCAAAAATATCTGAATTTGGGTAAAAATAACTAACTTATTTCTGGTTTCAGTGCCACATAGTAAAAGATTCAGAGTGGACCATTCGAAATTGACAAAATTCACACACCTCTCCAAGAGCGAAAGGTCTATAGGTTAAGATTGGGGCCTGAGTTAATCTATGAAATACAAAGTTTAAGGGTTCAGAGGGAAATTTAAGAGAATACAGTGTGAGGTAACAGCTTTAGGAAAGTTCAAAGATGGGAAGAACCTTGAAAAGAACTATAAAAAAGAACAGATAAGGAAAGCATACAGAATAACAGAGTTGCATATTGGTGTTGGAGGCTCAGCTAAAAAGGGCTTAGGACAAGCCAGTCAAGGTTTCCCAAGGGCCACATTTAGGAGACACAAGCCAAGTTGGCAATTTAGGTGGTCATTAGTGGTGTAACTTCTATTTGAAACTAAAGGGAACAGACTTGGGTCAGAGCCTGTGTCTATAGGTATGAAGGGTTTGAAGGAGGGAGCTTAGATTCTGTCTGGCTTGAACAATGGTCAAGATGGCTGCAAAGTTTAAATCTAATTTTTTAAACCTATGCTAAGGTAATTGTATAACATTAGACTACACCTGGAATTTTCTTTAACTCCATGAAGCATATATCTCAAAATATCCTCAAACACAGTAGTAAAGATTAGCAGGTCTTTTAGACTGATGGTATGTTCTGCAATAAAGTGAACAGAAGAGGAGGAAAGTTTCAAAAGGTCATGAACCGAAGAGTATGATCTTCAGAGGAGAGATTTTATCTCTCTTATGCTCTACTAAATAGTGGAGCACTATGAGGAGGCTCTGCCATTTGGGACCTGCCTGGGGACAAGGTTCTTGTTTTCCCAGTTTTGCCCCTTGCCAAGCATCCGGGGCTTCCTGCCCTGATGAATCTCTGTACCCGAGTTTCTATATCTGGGTATCTGGCCCATCTAACAGTGTGCCACATGTAAGAATTCAGTGTAGAACCCACACTTATTTTACCTATTTTATTGCAGGTCTTTATAAAACAAGGAACACAGACCTCTACTGAAATGTGAGTTGCAATATATTTTTTCCTAGTTTGTTAAATTGCCATTTGGTTTTGGTGTTTCTTGTGTAGAACAATTTTATTTGCATATTGTTTAGTCGATCAATCTTTCCATTTTGCTATCTATATTTTATATTATTTATATTATACCTATTTTATATTATACCTATACTTTCCCTATTTTGAGATAATTAAAAAATTTCTGTACTCCATGGTGACTATAGTTAATAATATTGTATTGCATATTTGAAAGTTACTGAGAGAGTAGATCTTAAAAGTTTGCATCATACACACAAAAATTTTGTAACTATATATGGTGATGGACATTAACTGGACTTATTTTGGTGATCATTTTGCAATATATATAAATATAGAATCATGTTGTATACCTCAAATTTGTGTAATGTTGTATGTCAGTTATATCTCAATTTAAAAAGAAAAAAATTCACATTATTTTTGATAGAAAAGAAGTACTAAAAGTATATTTCATTTTTGTAAAACTTGATTAAGGAGCTTCTTAAAATACCAATTAATGTGAATTTTGTCAGTAAATGTCAACTAAGAAAAAAATTTCCTTTGTTTCTTCTACTCCTTCAATTTTTATGTGTTTATTTGTATATACAAATCTTTGGTCCATCTAGAATCCTAGTCTTTCTAACGCCTGCCGCTATGGGGGATCACTTCAGCATTAAGGACCTTTTCAACCTTCTCCTCACCACTGTCTTTGATCTTTGCTCAGACAGCCACCTCCCTTCACACCTCTATCCAGCATATCTTAGAACTTCTCACCATCTATGAGACCCTTCTCCTTTTCCAAAAACTTAAAACTCACACTCCACTTCCTCATCACGCTCTCTTATCCTTCTAGGTCTCTTGCTCTCTAAATTTGATTGCAAATTTATAATAGTTAATCAAGATCTCTGATCCTTAATATCTCCCTTTTTTCTCATATTGTCTGCCCCTTCCAGGTAGGACCACATAATGATTTCAATGAGCCCTAAACATTTTTGCCTCCATTGGCCTCTTGCTCAATAAAAAATAAAATTGTTATATTTTACAATTGCACTTATATAAAGATATATTTACATATATATTTAACATTTTCTTTGGCCTTAAAGTTTATTTTTCTTCTGTTTCTAAAAGAAATTAAAACTTTTTGTGGGCCCTAAGCTCTGTGCCTTAAGCATCATTCAGCCCTGCTCCTAGGCACTGATTTACTGCTTTAAACACTTTCTTGACACCATCCTCTACTCTTTTGGCCCCTTGGTTTTCTGTGTATTGCCAAGCCTTAAAACTATATGAATCTTTTGAGCTCTACTAGAGAAAAATCATAAAAAGGATTGATGTCATCACAGATTTGGGGTCTATGACATGAATTGGGCCTTCAACACTGTTTAGCTATTTTTTACATGTTTCTGATCAATTATCTGTTTCATTCCTCATGTTAGCTATCCCAAATCATTTAGCATTCTATTCAACTAAGAAAAAATAGAGCATGAACTCTTTTACCTCCCCATTCTTCCATGTTCTGATTCGCCTTGGCTGGGTGACAAAACATTCCAAGATTCAGTGGCTTAAAACAAAATTATTTTTCCTCTTAAGATTTTGTGGGTTGACAGGCACAGCTGGGCAGTTCTCATTTGGGTCTCTGGTGTGATTGCAGTTTAACCTACAGTAAGTTTGACCTATAAACAATTGGAGATTTGACTGAGCTGGATGCCCAAGATGTCACTCTCACATGGCTGGCAATTGATGCTAGTTGTAAGCTAGGAGCTGGGGTGAGGTCGTCAACCAGAATACCTGCATGGGGCCAGCATCTCTGCGTGACTCCATTGGCTGTTCATGGCATGGTGGCTGGGTCTGAAAGGATAGACCCAAGAGCAAACATTCCAAATCTAGGTCATAAGCCATGGAAGTCCCAGAATGTCAGCTCTACTGCATTCTATTGGTCAAACAAATCACTAAGAAGAACCTAGATTCAAGGGTAGGAGAAAGACTCCATATTTTGATGGAGGAGTGGTACAGTTACATTACCACTGTTAGATCATTACCACTGTTAGTTACATTACAGTTAGATCATATGGATGGAAAATGCAATATGCCATATGTTAACACAAAATTGGTGGCTTCTATACCCACTTTTACTTTCTTCATTCCCATCTCTGAGGAAATGGTGGCTATCTGTTCATAGCTCATCTTTTAACATAGCAGCTAGCTTGTGCTTAGTCTTGCCCACCTCTTCAGAGACCTCATTTTATCAAGTCTCTCTCCTCTTGTGTTTTCAGTCTTTTTCCTCTACCAATTGTTTTCTTATGAATATCCTCAAGTCTCCCTTTTAAGAATAAAAAATTTATCTTTGTCCCATATTCCACTCTAAATAATTGCCTTATATTTCTCTATCATTGATTTTGTCTTTCTGACTTTCCACTCATTGTTTAATCTACTGAATACTAAATATGTAGTATGTAACACCATATTGAGACGATTCTTGTGGTTATTGAAGACTTCATAATTCCCTAATTCAACAGACTCTTCAAAATCTTTATCTCAACCTTTTGGTAATATTTAAAGATGTTGGTTACTACTTTGTTCTTGAGATAATGCATGGGCTTTTATGACTCCTCTACTGATTTTCTATATGACTTCTCAGCTCTGTATAGATAGTGAAGTCTTAGAAAATGAAAGGAAAGAATAGTGTAGTGTGTTAGTTCCCTATGGCTCTGTAATACCACATACTTGGTGGTTTAAAACAATAAGAATTTATTCTTTCTCAGTTATGGAGGCCAGAATTCCAAAATCAGTACCACTGGGCTGAAATCAAGGTGTTGGCAGGACTGTGTCCCCCCACAGGTTCTAGGGGAGAGTAAGTTCCGTTTCTCTTACAGCTTCTGACTGCTCCTGGCATTCCTTGGCTTGTGATCCCTTCAATTTTCAAGTCCTGCATCTTTAAATCTCTCTGTTCCGTCTTCACGTTGCCTTCTTTGTATGTATTTCAAGCCCCTTCCTGCCTCTCTCATATAAATACATATGTGACAGCATTTAGGGCCCACCCAGATAATCCAGGACAATCTCTTCATCTCAAGATTTTTAATTTAACCACATCAAATCCTTTTCCAAATAAGGTAACATTTATAGGTTCCAGGGATTAGGGCATGGTTGTATGTTGGGGTCCCATTTCTTAGCTTATCATAGATGAATAAGAAAACTAACCCAGTAATTCAAAACTTTCTGAAGGGTCATGGGTAATGGTTGAGATGGACCTAGCTAATATCAGCAAACACACGAATTTCAAAAGAGCAATGAAAATTATTATTTTATGTTTTATTATTATTTTTTAAGTATATCTTTATTGATTTCAGAGAGAGGAAAGAAGAGGGAGAGAGAGAGAAACATCAATGATGAGAGAGTCATTGCTCGAGCCCACAACCCAGGCATGTGCCCTGATGGAGAATGAACTCCGATCGCCTGGATCCTAGGTTGACGCTCAACCGCTGAGCCATGCCCGGCTGGGCTATTATTATTATTTAGAGAGAGAAACATAATTTGTTGTTCCACTTCTTTCTGTATTCATTGGTATGCGCCCTGACTGGAGATCAAACCCACAACTTTGGCATATATGGACAATGCTCTAACCAACTGAGCTACCTGGCCAGCAATGGAAATTATTGAGGGTAGTTGGTTTTTTGTTTTTTTTTTTTCTTTTAAAGGCAGGAAACCGCAGTTTGAAAGGATAAAAATGGAAACTTTTGCTGATTTAGGACTAGTAGAAGGGAGGCTGCCCTGGAATGGGCGGCAAGGGAAGGAATCAGGAGAAAGCTACATTTCAGTTACAACAAGAAAGTTGAAGTGCCTTTAGGTGAGCATCTACGTTGACATAGCAGTTACAGTGAAGTCTTCTTAGCAAGGGGAGAGAGTACTATTCATCACTCTGAAATATAACTTGTTTAAACTAATAGCGACTATACAAATCATTTATCATGGTTTCCAAGTTACTTAGAATAAATACTGTATAGATAATGCATAATTAATTAATTAAAAGACTACTAAAATTCTAGACAACAGTGCTTGACCATGCTCTTATTCATGAACTTTAATTAAATGGAATCAATTGAATTAATGATCCAATGAACATAATGATCTTAAGAAAGACTTGCAATCTGATTTCCCGTAGCTGGAGAAAAATTGTCCCGGGAGACTCATTTGACCACTGACCTATCAAGATAAGCACGCTTGCTTGTGTAACCAAGTAGTCATTCAAACATACAGCTCCTTAAATCTAATTCATATACGTTTTTCTTCTTGTTTCTCATCTAAAATGATAAAAATTTAAAAAGCAATCTATTGTTAATAACGGTAAAATCATATTTCATATTACGTATCATGAATTTGCTTTGAAATGTGGGGAAGATTTTTAGTGCTGACCATGATAGACTGAAGTTCAAAGAGAATAAACACAAAAATGTACCATAATTGCTCCTGAAGTAGAGGCTATTATTGATTTCTTCCCCATCATCTCATCAAACAGAAAGTGAAGGGAGAAAAATACAAGTTCAGAGGGACCAGCTACTCAGGTATTGGGCAGGAGCTTTGAGTGAAAATTTCTGCCTCATTAAAACATTTAAAGGGAGCAGCTTGTCCTCATGCAGGAATCATTATTCTCAGTCTGAGTTCATCCTCTGGAGTTTTCACCTCTCCAGCAGGGCGCATTCTGTGCAATTTCTAAGAAGTGCTTCTTTAACGGGAGGGATTTATGTTAAGTTGGTTCAGGAGAGGTAGACAATTGTGGAGCCTTTTTAATGGACTACAAAAGACTGTCGAGTAATTAAATAGATTTCTTTTCCCTTAGACTGTTCCATGGTTTTAAAAACACTCCACCGAGCATGTAAAATCAATTTCCATTACTGGCCATGACCTTTGCAGTTTTATAAACATGTTTTTTTCCTGGGTTTGGAATGTGGCTCAAAGGCAATAGTAGAAGACTAGAGGATGAGATAAGTCGTTGTAAT